GAGTCAAAGATAAGGATGACAGAAGAAGAAAAAGCTAACGGATATTAGTCATTAGAATTCGAATAAAATTCGGTTTATCGTCATCAACTTTCGTTCAATTGAGTTTACGTTTCTTGTGAAAACCACATGCATTTTAAATAATTTACTATTCCACTTTAGGGGAATTTTATTGATTTTAAATGAACTGGTGTCAAATAAATTAGAAAATGTTCGAAACTAGAAATAAAGCAAGTAGAACACAATTGGATTACACAAATCAGATCCCTGATCAGGAATTTAGTTTCTTTTTACGGGATCTCTTCTAAAAAGATAAATATTGATTATAGCTATTGCATCATAGATCCATTGCTTTTTAAATATTTAATACTCTTTTCTAAATTAAGGCGATTTTATTCTAATAATGCAATCGTACTTAATTAAGTATTTATAGTTAAAGCAAATAAAAATTTTGTTAAAATTTATGATAATCTTGTCAAAATCAATTTATTAAAATCGCTCTAAAGGAACATACATAGATGAAAGGTATGCAAATTTATTGATTGGCAATTTGATTGCAACGTTTTTTTCGCAAAGAATGCGCTGGTTGTCCTGTTTTATATTGTATATTAAATGCTGTTCTCAAGTTTATACAAAGAAATGCAGGACACGCATTTAAAACTTTTAATAGAATTGTTACATGAAGGTTCTTCTACAGTTATTGAATTTTAATTTTGTTATTAAACAAAATACGTTCTTATAAAAAAAAAAACTTTACAAATACGCAATAGTTTTAGATACAAATGTACATATCGTCAACTAAAATGCAAAGTAACATAACATCATCATCATAAACGAATTCAAATTAACTTGCACAATATTACAAATAAGCATATTAAGTATTCTGAAAAGTTATTTTATTTTAAGCAACAAATATAAAAATTTTATCCTTTAAAGGTCATAATCCTAATAAAATTAGTTTTTTTTAAGATGTTTATAAACTTGTGATAAAATAGCTAGTTATTTAACATTTTAAATGTCGATATGAAGCAATATAAAATCATACAATAAAAAAAAAATACGTTGGTGCATAAAAATGTGTATGGATTCCTGATTAAAAGTTGCAACTTGCAAGCAACATTCTCGTAGTTGACGATTTTTATGGTTTTATTGACTGCTGACGACTATAAAATTACAAGACATTCAGCTGGACAATTAGTTTTCATTTGAGACACTGCACTGTTGCTACGTTTAGTTGTTGGTAGTTAGAAATAATTACGAATATCTAACAATAGGTATCAGCAATAAATATTGGCAATTCATTAAATTATAATAGCAATGATTTGTAGCAACGAACAATAAATAATAATTATAATGCAATTGATATGTAATGTAAAATATTTCATATTTAAATGATTAGAAATTAAAACATTTCCTTTTGCAGTGTTTCTTTTATTATTGAAAGAAACCAATAACAATAGTTAACCAACAGAAATCAAATATTAACTAAGGCGTAACACTAGATAAGGCAAGTATGTATTATAATTTTTCTAGAAAGTAACTGAAGGATAACATAGGCCGACAAAGGAAGAATCATTCTATTAAGGATTGAGACGCGCTGAATCCGAATCTAGCCTCAGAATTTCTACATCTCATCTGGGATATCGTGTCCTGAAGTTTGAAAAAAACCCCATTTTTGTTCCTTTTAATGACGCAAGACAACTTTATTTATAGAATGTTGTATGCCATCTGAAAGTTCATTCTGTACACTTTAAAATAAAGGGTTTACATCTGACATATCTTCTTTCTCCTTCGAGATATCTTCACCTAAAGCTTGATATAACAATAAATTGACAAAAACTGTATTTTTCCGTACATTTCGCCATTATTTTACAAAAAAACGTATATGTACATTCCAATTTCTCAAATTTTCTCCTATGAAAATAATTTTCGAAATCTGCTATAGTTGCTGACGGACGGACAGATATAGTTAAGTTGAATCAGAAAGTGATTTTGAGCCGATTGGAGCATCCTCAGATAGAATGGATAGAATATTTTTGTTCGTTATAAACAATATTTACAAAGCATAATACTCTTCGCACTATAGTAGTTAGTGTAGGGCATAAATACCATGAATATACCAAAAACCATGAGTTTAGAAGATATGTCAGTTCTTAAGTCTTTATTTTAAAGTTAACAAAATGAACTTTCAGGTGAAATACAATATTTTATAAAAAAAGAGCCTAAATGGTGATTTTTCAAATTTCAAGACACGATATCCCAATCTCAGATGTGATGGAGAAAAGAGGTCAGATTCGGATTCAGCGCGGCTCAATCCTATAGAAGCGTCTAACTTGGTCACTGGATTTCGACTTTTTAACAATTTTGACGCCCTGTGTAGTCTGTGATTAGAATTACCTTTTTATTTAAAAAGAACCACTATTGATCGCATATTTAAAAATAATTTGCTAACGTGCAATTCTCTAAAAGATAAGATACTTAATTTATTAATTCAGTATTTTATTTATTAGATATTTTGTATAAGAGCATATTTTTTGCGCCTAAAACACTTTTAGGTGGATAATTTTAGCACCTATGTAGATATTTTTAGATTTTCTTTTGAAATTCAATTTACGATTTAATCTATGAAGAACGTTCAATTTATGTTTTCTAAATCAGAAAAATACTGAATTAATTTCGATAGTAACGGTATTCTGCATTAGCATGATTCAAAGCAGTATACCAGACAAAGAACATATGTAAATATAATCAGCATGCGGCGGAAACCGCGTCGAATGAAGTTGTCCACTATTTAGCAAAATCCTTCTATAGCAAACTCTTTACACTGGCGGAATTCATTGACATCGAAGGCGTTATCAATAACATGCACACTAATACTCCTATCCAATCCTTCGATCAGTTTTATGGTGGCATTTTGACTCCTTTGATCAGGGTAACCACGTAAAAAAGCCTCCTAGGGTCCATAACCAAGAAAAGAATTTGGACCTGTTTGCCAAATTCTTTTCTCGTAATTGAGATGGGCTCAATCTAGAGGCCTTAATATTAACCCGACAAAGACTGAAATCTGTCTTTTCACAAGAACGACAAAATTTGCTAAGTATATTGAATCCTATTTTTTGATCAGAAAGATACAGGTGACAGAGTTAAGTAAGGTGTAATCCTTGACCGGTAAGTAAAATGGAGGCCTTCTTTGGACAAAAAAAGTATTATACTATTAAAGGGAGTTCAGGGTATATGCTGCTTGGATATAAGTGGACCCATCAGCACTACGTCAAGCAAGATTCTGGAAACGTTGCTATTAGATATTTATTACAACCATTGAAACATATACATACAAACTTATATGTGAGATATGTGGCGGCCCTTACAGCCGAACGGCTCATAACTTTAGGCGAGCTGACCAAAGTTGTTATAGGACATGTATCAATGTATACTGGACATATTGAAAGGCTATACACAATCATCGGACATGTTCTATCGCAAACCAGACACAGAATATGTCGGGAACTTTGAAACACCGATCCCAGATAGATAGTAAATACTCGCCGGAATCCGTTGCTACACGCTTGGCTCTATATTGGGGGACAAAGACCAAGACAAATATACTACCGTTGACTTAATCACAACACTAACTTCCAGGCAAGAGTGCGAGCAATAACGCAAAGCGTTAACTGGATTAAGATAATTAAGGATTAACATATTTAACGACAGTCAGAAAGCAGTTATGGCGATATCAGGTGATAATGTTAAATAGGACCGTTTTGGAAGCTCTAACAGAATACACTCCCAGAGGAACGGTTTATATCATATGTGCACTCAGAGGTAGTCGGCAATAATAGAATAGCGAATGTACTATCTTTAAAAGGAAGGGAGCTCGAAGTAGTTAATCAAACGAACGCAAAAACATCGAAGCAACGAGAGCTGAATTAAAAATATGGGTGAGTGGTTAAAGCCACAAACATCCTATAGGGTGATCCTAACGAGAGCAGAGCGAGAAGCTTCCTCAAAGGTTAGTATGGTGGTACGTATTCTGAGTGGATACACAAGATTACGGGCACAGCTATATATAATTGGACTTGCGGATTCAGACGAGCATTTAGAGAGAACAGTGAAGCACTGGAGCACTTTATTTACCACTGTCAAGTATGTTGGGAGTGATATAACATCCCTCACGAACACAGATTGAAAAATTCTTAAAAACTACGTCCAGGAAACTGAGTTTCTGAACATCGGACAAAAGGACCAATAGTGGCCTAGGTGTATTTCTTAGGATTTGATGTAGTATACATCCTCCTATCAACCTAACATAAAAAATTGTGAAATTCCCAAAATTTTCCCGGGATTTCCGAAAAATTATTCTAGAAAATTCAAGGAAAATTTTTCCTTTTAGAAACCCTAACTGTAGATGATAGAAAATGAGACAGTCGTAATGATGCAATCTTATCTAAAACTTATCAAATTTGGTGGCTTGCAGCCAACCAACAACTTGTCCAACTCGACTTAATGTTTATCTCTTTATGATGTGGCCAAACGCAGGAAAACAAAATATACAACTGTGTTATTTTGGTGTATTTGTTAAAAAAACTAAAATGAAAATAAAATATGGAAATATACAACTGTAGAATTATAAATTAAAGATAATGCTTAATAAATTAAGTAATTATTAGTACATACACATTAATTGTATATTTAAATCTAATTATTTATAACATACAATTCGTACAAATATAAAAACATACACAGATAGAACTACAAAGATACATAAATACATACATACATACATACGTTACTTAACATCTAGGTAATAGTTCGCCATCGAGTACCTCAAAGGAACTCGATAAACACTCACAATGTGAAAAACGAATTTTTACCGAAAACTACATATGTAGGTTTCGTCAAAGTTTTAATGTGATTGTTCACATTGTAAGATTTAAAGTTTTTATTTTAAATTTAATTTAATTGTTTTTATTTTATAACTATGTATGTGCAATATTTTAAATTTCTTAATTTTATAAATACATTTATTTATTTTGATTGTTTTTTAATTATTTATATTTTCTAATTTTAAAATATTATTTTAGATTTAGCATTGGATGATGTTTAAAAACAACTCACAGCATTAAAATAACAACGCCAGTAAGAACTTGCCGTTCGTCCACCCCCCGCACCAACTACTCCTCCAACTCCACCGACACCAATATCGCCGCCATTGTATCCATTTAAAAGACCTCTACTGAGGGCCGATGAAGATGATGCATCTAATAATGATGAAACACCCTCGACTCCCATATCGCCACCCAAATCCAAGCCCACGTTCGCTCTTCTCTGAAAGCTCTGTGCCATTAACTGAAATTTTCTTACTCATGCCCAAAAATCTCTCAAATCAACTTAAGCTTTAATAATCCAACTTACAGTTTCGCCTGTAGCTCGATTTATCGAATTGAGATCTTTGAAATCATAGTCCATCATAACAGTTGGATCATCATCGCTGTACATGGCAAGATATGGAGAATCTATAGACGTAGAGTTTTAATTTATTGAAAATTTCATTAAAAATTCCTTAAAAAAATAATAACCTTTATTGTCTGGAATGTTTTCGTCTTTGTCCTCTTCCTTATTGCGATCATTTACTCCAGATGCAATATTTTTATTGTTATTGTTGTTATTTTTATTATTATAGAATTCACTTAATCTTGTACTACCACTGTGTTCTTTTTCGAGAGCATGATGAAGCGCCACCATAAGGCGATCAAGAAGAAGAGCTGCTCTTTTTGGGACAACCATCTGCAAAATAATTTAAGCGTAATCAGACAAAATATGTACTTCGCTATAGAAATTGTTATAGTAAAAGTGGTTAAAGTAGCTGTGAAGTATGGCCATAATCAGGAGCCATATAAAAGATGACTGTAAAATTCATAACTGACTTAAAAATACAAGTATTATGAAAACAAAAATCTCTCTACTAAATTTCAAAAATCGTACATAAATAGGAAGAATAAACTCAATCATTCTATTGAGGTCTGTACCGCAATTCTGTAATTTTTAATTTTAACTACCGATATCGTAAAGTAACAACAAACATCGGTTGCATTAACGAATTTTCAATTTTGTTAGAATATTTTAACGACAAATGTCGGAAAAATATGAGAATGTCAAAAGTTTTGTATGGAAATATTTTTAAAATATAAAATTATTAACGTGAACTTTTTATTTTTCGAAAAGAATGATTCTTCAGTAATCTTTATTTTAATATATTTAATCGAGTTTCATAGTTCATAATCTATATATATAAAAATGTTTGTATGATTTTCTTGAAATTTTCACAGTGTATTCCTATATGTCTGGAAAAGGTTATAGGCAACTTTTTATTTTGAAATTTGAAGTGGGCGTGGAGCCACGTCCCTATTAAGAAAATATTAAATCAGTATATGTATCTGATATAATATAAAGGCCCAAATAGACTACGCAAGCGGCTTATCAAACATACTTTTTTCATTCGAACACACACTACACAAACCTTGCTCGTACAAACAGCGATTTTTTGCACGTTTTTGTGGACTTGCAAAGATACAGGTTTGATAAAATTCAATATGTTTGTGTAAAAATCAATTTTTTTTTAATTTTTATACAAACCAACAGCAAGCATTTGTACAAACACGAAACACCCTCATACACTACACAACAGGCTTGCACAAACATAAAATATTGGTATGTTTGTCAAGCCGTTTGTGTAGTCTATTTGGGCCTTAACAGTTAGTCCTCAAATTTTGTCGGAACCACTTTAGTGTCAATATGAAAAATTCGTTAATTAAATTATTATAAAATATTAAATAGAAAAATTCGTTTATCTTGGAAATTATTACAATTAGAATCTTAAAATTTTGCATGAAGAACTTTAACATTTTGGGTTATAAATTGGCGGACTACCAATGAGAGGAGCGGTACCTCCCAATGAATTAAATACAAAAATTCGTTTACCTATTAAACTAATAGAACTAAATTCTTAAAATTTTGCACGAAGAACTTTAATATTCATCTGAACATTTTGTAAAAAACTGTGCGGATTTTCATCTATAATTTAAATAGAAATATATATTCATTTGAACATTTTGAGATTAACGGGTGGACTTTCAATGGCGGCTTGGCACCTCCCATATGAATTAAATACAAAATTTCGTTTATCTTGGAAACTAATAGAACTAGATTCTTCAAATTTTGCACGAAGAACTTTAATATTCATCAGATAATTTTGGAGAAATAAAGGGCGGACTTTCATCTGGAGGGGCTTGGAGTCCCCATATGAATTAAATAGAAATATTCGTATATCTGAGAAACTATTCGGACTAGAATCTTCAAATTTTACATGAAGAACTTTGACATTCATCTAAACATTTAGATAATAACGGGCGCACTTTCAATGGGGTGCTTGGCACCTCCCATATGAATTAAATACAAAATTTCGTTTATCTGGGAAACTAATAGAACTAGATTCTTCAAATTTTGCAAGAAGAACTTTAATATTCATCTGAATATTTTGGAGAAAAAAAAGGCGGACTTTCATATAGGGGCTTGGAGCCCCCATATGAATTAAATAGAAAAATTTTTATATCTGAGAAACTATAAGAGCTAGAATCTTAAAATTTTACATGAAGGACTTTATCATTCATGTGAACATTTGTATATCTGGTAAACTATTAGATTATTAAATTTTTTTATGGATTACATTAACATCTTAATTAACGTTCGGGAAAATTGGCGAACTTGCAATAATTTGCGTGGCATCTCTCATATGTAACAAATTGTATATGTACTACTATTGTAGTTAGAATCGTCAAAATCGTTTTTTTATTATTTATATTGCTTATAGGGTAACAAAGCACACTGGGTATAGCTAGTGTTTAAAAATAATGAAAACGCTTTAAAAATAATATACAATTTCGTAATTATACCCTACACCACTTTAGTGGGGAGGGTATATTGGGTTTGTGCTGATGTTTGTAACGTACAAAAATATTCGTCCTATACCCACCTTAAAGTATACCAATTGGCTTAGAATCGTTTTCTGAGTCGACTAAGCTATGTCCGTCTGGCTGTCCATGTAAACCTTGTGCGCAAGGTACAGGTCGCAATTTTCAAGATAATTGGATGAAATTTGGCACACACTCTTTTTTTCGGCCCAAGGACGAAAATGGTTGAAATCGGTCGATTATTTCACCTAGCCCCCATACAACAGAACCTCCCGCACAACTAAGTTTTATACAAGCCTTGATGACCTTGCCAAATTTCATAGAGATCGGCCCTCATTTGACCCTAGCTCCCATACAAAGTCCCTTTTCGAAAATTACTTGAATGTCCAAAATTAACTTATAAACACAAATATCGCGATGAAATTCAGCACAATAAAACATTATGTAAATATAAATATATTCACAAAATTTTATCGGGCTTGGTCCATATTTGCCCCTGGCCCTCATATAAAGCCTCTTTCAGAAAATTAGTTTTTCATCCATAAATTGCTTAAATGTATAGGAACAAGGTAATAGAAGATAAATGCTTTATTATGAAAAATAAATCACATTTAATATTCATAACTGATGTAGGGTATCATATGGTCGGTCATGCCCGACTATACTTTCTTACTTGTTTTTTATTGTATGTATGCTTTTTTCTTCATTTGTCTCCACTTTTACCAAATATACACACAAACACAGAATAAATTGAAATAAGTGAGAATATAAAAGAAAACAGCTATTGGCTACGAATACAAATCCGAAAAAATAAATTATATTTCATATATTCGGTTACAAATTGATGACATTGATACAGAGAAACAAAATTACAATTTTAAAGAATGACGTTGAATCGTTTGATGTAGATTCACAAAATTTTAAATATAATTTTATTTAATGGTCTTGTCCTATACCCATCATACAGTTTATGCCGTTACAAATAAATTATGAAATAAAACTAATCTATAACCGTCTTGTCTATACCCGAGCAAAATTACGTTCATCAATACCCATCATACCCGGGTATGTCATATGTAACGTGACCAGACATTACGCAAAAATCGGGATTGATTGATTGATCCCGCCTTTTTACATATTAATCATCTTTAATTTTATTGTAATCAATTTGATATATTATTTAAAAGTTTAAAATTTAAATTTAGAAATGTTGGTACAAAATAGAGATTCGATAGAAATATTCTAGTATTTTTTAATAAATTTTCAAAATGTGGGTAAATAAAGACATACACTTTTACACAAAAATGTTTCACTTCAATTTATAAAGTTAATATTACAAAAAATATTATTTTAAGTGACAAGAGAAAATCACTATTTTGGACCCGTGACTTTTAATATATAAAGCTGTGCTTTTTTGCCAAGTGAGTTACAAGAAAATTATCAATCCAATTTTATGACCAGTATTTTAAGTCTCCGACATAATAGAGAATCCTCACTTTAAGTGACTGTGTATCTGACCGTCAGAACCTACTTATATTTGTTTTATTTTTTTAACTGATATTTCAGAGTGATTTTATCCAATTTTCCGGATACATTATACTTCCTAACTATTCAGATTTTAGTCAGAATTCGCGAGGAACATACGAAATATGCTGTAGAAAAGGTTTTATTTGCATAGATTTTCTAATAACACAGGCCAACAAAAATTTTAGAAAGTCGAAAGGAAGGATTGCTACCCAAAATTCCAATCTAGCATTAGAATTTTTCTATAAAATAAGGTTTTCGTTTCATGTTTGTCTTACCCTTATTAATCGAAATTCAATCCTTAAGAATAGTATGCCTTGGTCTCATACAAATTTCATAAACATTTATCAATAGCCGAATGTTATATAATCGCAACCAATGAAATTATACCAGAATAACGTTCAACCTACATATTTTGGTTCTTTTTCATTGCATACATACATACCCAAGAATTTTTTAATTATATAGTCTCATTTGACCATAGCCCCTATTCAAAGCCCCCTTCAAAATTCGACTTAAATGTCCACAATTTTGCTGAACAATAAATGACTTAAGTATATCTGAGACAAGGTACAATTCAACTTAAATGCTTTATTATGAAAACTTAATCACATTTTTTTGTAACAGCTACCGGAGACGAACCTGTTGGAAATGGTTAACATCAGTCCATTATTTCACCTAGCCCCCATACAACTGAACCCGCCGAATAGGGCTTTTAAGTTCATAATTATGTTTAATATACTCGTATCTCGACAAAAAGACGCAAAACCAAGTTCTATACTAGCCTTTATGACTATTGAAAATGGTTAAGGTCGGTCCATTATTTCACCTAGCCTCCATACAACTGAACCACTGAATAGAGCTTGTAAACATTGGGTTTGTGCTGATGTTTGTAACGCACAATAATATTGGTCCTATACCCACCTTAAAGTATACCAATCGGCTTAGAATCATTTTCTGAGTCGATTTAGATATGTCCGTCCGTCTGTCCGTCCATGTAAACCTTGTAATCAAACTACAGGTCGCAATTATGAAGATAATTCAATGAAATTTGGCACATGATCTTCTATTGTCCCAGGAACGAAGCCTATTGAAAATGGTTATGATCCATTATTTCACCTAGCCCCCATACAACTGAACCCCTGAATAGGGCTTGTAAACCTTGTAATCAAACTATAGGTCGCAATTTTGATGATAATTCAATGAAATTTGGCACATGATCTTCTATAGTACCGGAGATAAAGCCTATTGAAAATGGTTAACATCGGTCCATTATTTCACCTAGAACCCATACAACTGAACCCCTGAATAGGGCTTGTAAACATTGTAATCAAACTACTGGAATTCGTATCATCCACCAATTTTTCACATTTTTATCTTTTAGTCCTTCTGACTGTATACTTGAGTCCCAAATATAAAATTCTAATTTTACAGAAGTTGCGAATAGTGGCCGTCTCTGCCTCTGACTTATACTTAATGTTATAAAAATACATTCTGGAAACATTTTACGCGATATTACAATGTTAACTGATGGCACCATGACTCTGAAGGAGAAAACGTTTTTTACAAAAATTTTGGCACTAAATTCATCTATTTGTATTTTAACAGCATTGAAATATGTATGCAATTGTCGTTTTAATAAGATATAAAACACAAAAATCAGTCAAAAATTTTAAAAGTTAGAAATTCCTCCGATCATTTAGTGTCACAAAACATTTAACTGAGAAATATTTCAAAAAAATTAACAAATTTGGGGAAATTTTCTAATAAAACCATGTTATTAAATATATTCGTATTAACTTAAATGTGAGTTTTTATCCTCATTAGATAGCTAATAGTCATAAATGGGAAATCCTTCAGACGACAGTTTAAAAATCGTTTCACTTTTAGCAATTTTGTTAAATTTTAATAATATCTCCATGTGACTTATGGACAATAAAGAAGGGAATAAAATTGTAAAGAAATTAGGTCTCTCACATATTTCAGAGAAAGCAATTTTTTGTTAAATTTTTTTTTAAACAGGCTTTATTCTTTACGGTTATGCATTTTATATAAAACTTTTAAAGAATATATAATTCAAGATAATAAGAAACAACGAATAATTTTAACCCATAAAATGTGAAAGTCAAACTCAAGCTATGCAATAGACAGAAATTCTCTTGAAACCATAGTGAAATATTAAATAAAACTTAGGGAAACTATATAATGAAAATATCGAAAAAAAAATATAAATGCACCCCTAAACGTAAATATATTTTTATAATTATATAAAAAGTTCGTAAAATATTAACAAAATATTCGATACCATTTTGCGAGAAAATGTTGGGTGATAGAGAAATACAGATATCAGAATTGGTTTCAAAACTTTTCACTAACCTCCATTTCGTTGGCCTGTGTAATTTAGCAAAAATTGTCTACCTTGAAATTAGAATTTTTTATATTCCATTTGCAGGAAAGAAAACAACATTTTAATTATTTAACTTACTGGATATTCATCGTAGTTTGACTCCAACTGATCACTTGCACTAAATATTTCCTCTGGCTGGCCTGCAGATCCGCCAATGCCACTTCCCGATGTAAGTGTACGCTTATCGGCTGGTAATTTTTCAGCTGCTCCAACGTGTGAAAACCGTTTATTATAATGTTGGCCATTGTGAAGACTAAAAAGTGGTTGAAACGTTTGAAAAAGTAAGAGAAGCAATAAAATACCGCCGGTAGAAGTATAAGTGGATCGTATCGTTTGGTAAATTCTTTCCGTCATTTTTTTAATTTTTAGATTTGATATTTTTTAAGCGTAACTGAACCGTAAAAAATTTGCACTGAATGGTTTGTAGTCACTGCAAAGTCCTTTTATAGTTTGAATACAAACGAAATGACCAAATGATGGAAAGTCATGAAGGTGGTGATTTTTACTTAATAAATGTATGATGATGTATTTTTAATGTTACATTTCAATAAATAAATATGTATGTACTTTTTTCAATTTTTTCACATTGTAAATCCCTGCTATTTTGTCCTTAATTTATTTATTCTTATTTGTGACTGTTTCTTACAAAGAAATGCTTTCTCATGTGATTTTGTTCGTGTTTCTGTAGAACACACATCAGGAATGTTGTTGCACAAAAAATTACAAAAACACATAATATATCAACATTAATGATTATGTTGTTGTAATTATAGCAAGGATTAAAAACGTTACTATTATGTACTGGTTTTGTTGGTGGAAGTTGTAAACAATATTCGCCACAAATGCCAAGACATACAGAAGCACTTACCCCCATCATCCAGCCAATAATATAATAATATCCATCAAACCACAAGTTCAACTGGTGTCTCAATAATTCTTCACAATAAAAGACGTCTATAGTTAAATTTATAAATTCTTCTCATTGTTTTACTTTTACTAAAAATATGCACTTGAAAACTAAAGTATCAAAAGTAAGTTTGTAAAAGGATTTTTTTAAATAAAAATAAAAATGACGTAAGCGTCTTAAATTTCAATTAGTCGTTTTAATCGAAGGATAACGCAACCTGATATTTTTTATGTTTTTTACTTATCGTACAGTGGGGGTTGGGACTGAAATGGCTGAGCTGATAGTCATGGAATTTTAATAGTTCAACCAATATGTTGCACATTTTATACTCTACAAAGTTTCAATAGCATTTAAAAACGTATGACGTGTAATTACTAATTAGCGGAATACATGCATGAAGTAGTTTTTTGTAATATTTCGCCTAAATCACACGGGTTTCATTTTTAGCCCTGAGCGTGAATACCTATACTGTTTAAAATTCCTCAACAAATTTTGTTGAGCTATAAATTTAAGAAGTGGTCCTAACCACCGTTCTATACTTTCAAGTCACCGCATGGAATTTTTTCGACCATGATTTATTTCAGACCTCTATGCGGCGAACGGTTTTGCATTTGATAGGTTATCTTCCTCAAGCTCCCTTCCCTTTATAGCAAGTATGTACATTCGCTTATTGTTGATTATCCCTGAGTGAAGTTGCGTCCTCATGATTTAGAGTTTACCACTTTTAGAGTATTCGTCCAACTTTGAACCCCTCTAACTCTGGCAGTTCTTGGTCCTCATGATTTAGAATTTACCACTTTTAGAGTATTCGGATATGCCACTCTTTCAATCCACTAAGGACTTACATTTTAGATTTATCAGCTAATTTCAGCCAAATTGCATTGTGATCGTCGGAATAATTTTTTTTATTAAAAAAAAAAAACATTTTTTGAAAAGATTTAAAGTCCTTTGGGCAATTTTTCCTAGGACCAAAAGGTGAAAAGTTACGCTCATTTGAACAAACCCTGTATGACCAAAATGTCCAACTTAGACTCGGCCAGTTCCTGACCGATAGAATTGAACATTTATAAGTTATCTCACTGGATACAAAATTATATAATTATAATATATAATTTGTTAGTATAAAACATTTTTTCAAATGTTTGGTATTTGTACTGGCAACACTTAATTTTTTAGTTGTCAATTATACAATTTTGAAATAACATTTCAATTAATTTTTGTAAAAAAGGAAACAAAAAGATATTAAAGATAGTATAAACAGGAGCGTGGAGACAATTCGATACCGGAAGATAAGGTAATTAAACATTAATTTTGTTATAGCAAAGATTTAAACATATGTATGTATATTCATAAATCCATATTTTTTCATTTTTGTATATAGATTTTATTAAAGGATCTAATAAAGGAACGTGTTGATCAAATAGAGGACAAGAATACGGACACAAACACCAACCAAAGGAAGAAAAAAATATGGATGGAACAGCAAGAAAAGTGTATTAATTTTATTAATTTAAGATTAGTTAATAAGATTAGAATTTCTAGTTTCAACAATTTATGTCACTGAAATCGCTGTGGTCCACTGCGATGAAAATTCAAGCAACAAAAGGAAATGAGGGACTATCGTAGAGAGATTCTTAAAACTGGGGGAGGACCAAAACCGGTTGAATCTACATTATTGGCCAACGAACTTAGCGTTTGGTTACTAAATGAGTTCGTGGTTGATACTAATGTCGGGACAAGAAGACAATGCAGCAGTAAATATTGTTAGCTCAGCTAGGCTTGCCAGACGTACTGTTTTCAGCAGTACGCGTACTTTTTTTTAGTAATTGTACTTTTTACTGCATAACCCTTAAAGAAGTACGCAATTGTACTTCTTTTTAGTAATTGTACTTTTTATACCCTACACCACTTTAGTGGGGAGGGTATATTGGGTTTGTGCTGATGTTTGTAACGCACAATAATATTGGTCCTATACCCACCTTAAAGTATACCAATCGGCTCAGAATCAAGAATCAATTTTCTGAGTCGATTTAGCTATGTCCGTCCGTCCATGTAAACCTTGTAATCAAACTACAGGTCGCAATTTTGAAGATAATTCAATGAAATTTGGTACATGATCATCTATTGTCCCAGGGACGAAGCCTATTGAAAATGGTTAAGATCGGTCCATTATTTCACCTAGCCCCCATACAACTGAACCCCCCAATAGGGCTTGTAATCCTTGTAATCAAACTACAGGTCGCAATTTTGAAGATAATTCAATGAAATTTGGTACATGATCTTCCTATTGAAAATGGTTAACAACGGTCCATTATTTCACCTAGCCCCCATACAACTGAACCCCTCGAATAGGGCTTTTAAAACTTGTAATCAAACTACAGGTCGCAATTTTGGAGATAATTCAATGAAATTTGGCACATGATCTTTTATGGCACCGTAGACGAAGCCTATTGAAAATGGTTACCATCGGTCCATTATTTCACCTAGCCCCCATGCAACTAAACCCCCGAATAGGGCTTTTAAAATTTGTAATCAAACTACAGGTCGCAATTTTGGAGATAATTCAATGAAATTTGGCACATGATCTTTTATGGTACCATAGATGAAGCCTGTTGAAAATGGTTTACATCGGTCCATTATTTCACCTAGCCCCCATACAACTGAACCCGCCGAATAGGGCTTTTAAGTTCATAATTATGTTTAATATACTCATATCTCGACAAAAAGCTGCAATAACCAAGTTGTATACAAGACTTGATGACCCCCACGAATTCTATAATAATAGGTTCTCATATGACACTAGCCCCTATGAAAAGCCCCCATCAAAATTTCACTTAAGTGTCCACAATTTTATTCAACAATAAACGGCTTAAGTATGTATATCTAAGGCAAGGTACAATTCAACTTAAATGCTTTATTATGGCAACTAAATCACATTATATTTTTGTCAAAGGTGTAGGGTATTATATGGTCGGCCTCGCCCGACTATAATTTCTTACTTGTTTTGTACTTTTTTTATTTTACCATAATTTTATAGGTTCAAATATGACCATAGGCAAATAGTCTATAAAATCGCTATTAATAATTCTCATCTATTTGAAAGTGGATTTATTAAGCTTAAAAAGGCATGATGTTTGAATGCCTTTGTCTTGTATAAAATAATGCGTTTATTAAAAAAACTTTGAAGTTATTAATATTTGATTTAGAAATTAACGTACTGAAAGTTTTTAATGAATTTTCGACATAAAAAAATACTGAACGTCTGAAGGACATGTTTGAATGTTAAAATCTAGCCCAGCAATTATAAAAATGTATCCGGCCATTCAAATTTTTCGAAAATAAAGTATCTGAGGAAGTTGTAAGAAAGTCATAGACTTGTAATAATTGATATGTTTTAAATAATGAAAGAGTTGACAAATGGCAAATTTGAATAACAGAATAAAAATTTTATGAGTTCTTAGACAAATGTTTTTTTATATAATTAATTTTATATCGGTATAAGTATGCTTCCATTTAAAAAATAATAAGTTTGAAAAACTTTAACCCTCTATAACTCAACATCTCCAAATTTCAAATTTTCTACAAAATAGCAGCACAAATTTAATAAAATACGTATTTTTTAATTGTTAATTTACCCAGCAAAATAAAAGGAGGTATTTTTGTAAATTTGAAATTTTTTGAAGAAAAAATATAAATTAATAACACACAGAAAAAAATTACAATTGTTAATAAGTAACAAAAGTAAATTGTTGAAGTCAATTTAAGTTGAAAACAATATTTTTTATAAAAGTATTTATAAATGTTCACATAATAACAATTTTACACTTCTGGAATAGAAATAATATACATGTACGTATGTGTCAAACAAAATTTACTAAAATCTTTTTAAATTTTCTATTTAAATGAAAAATAAATTAGAATAATATACAAAAAAAAAATCATTAATAAATTTCAATATTTAGTCACTGAACCCATAGAAGGATAAAAAAACTAATATTTTGGTATAATGGTCTCTGGTAGGATTTTTCTTTTATAAACTCAAATCCCCGGGTGGAATTGACTACGATGCTGGTGTTAAGTCTCACAAAGAGAACGTGTATTGGCCGATGATTGGGATAACTTTTATAACTCTTGTAAGGACTGTTAAAATAGATTCGCTTCATGAATAGTCTATTTAGACCGTTTAAACAAGAATGATTTTCTCCTATTGCAAATGGATTTTGGGTGATGGTCCGCAAATACATTTCTTATTTTGAATGGAATAAAATAGGTACAATTTATGAACTCTCCTACATACATCAAGACGAAATCTGCGAATGTCTCTCATTTATACTTCTCTAAAAAATGTAGGAGCTGTTCCTAATCAAACAGTAAACTATGAGCGTGCAAATTACTTTGATGCCCTTAAGTTTAAGATAAGTATATCTTGCCTCTAATATGTATATTAAATAAAATTGATTCTTATTTGCATATTACAGTTTGGTATGCG